TCGTAGCGCTGGTGCTGACCCTGGCCCTCTTCACCTGCCTACCTTAGATTGAGGAGATCTTCAAGAAAGCCGGCCACCCCTTCATGTGGAACGAGCACCTGGGCTACGTGCTCACTTGCCCGTCCAACCTGGGCACGGGGCTGCGTGGCGGCGTGCACGTGAAGCTGGAGCACCTGAGCAAGCATCCCAAGTTCGAGGAGATCCTCACCCGCCTGCGCCTGCAGAAGCGAGGCACAGGTGAGGCCCCGCGCAGCACGGGCCGGCCCTCGGCGGCGGGGCAGGGGGAGTGGGACCCCCGCACGTTGTGGGGTAGCCAGGGGCCCCCTCGGCGAGCCTCAGCTTCTTCATCACTAGCTGGGCATCAGCACGCCTTCGCTCGCCCGTAGGAGTCCCCGTACTATCAGCACGGCCGTGTGCGACAGACTTCGTGTCTGTCCCGGGCCGCTCGGGCCTGTTCCCCAGCTGTAGGGGGAGGGTGGCGAGGTACCCCGGCAGCCTGCTCCAGAATTCACTCTCACCCACGCTGCTGTGTCTTCGTGTTGGTTACGTGAGGGGTAAGGCCCCTAAGGCGGACACCGAGGCGGTTCCGCGCCCTACGCGGCTGCCCAGAGGGCACTCAGTCCACGCGAGGGGCGTCACCGCGGCCCGGGCTCGCCCCTCGCCGCCGCTGCCTCCTCACACCCCTGCCTCCGGCTCCCGCAGGTGGCGTGGACACGGCTGCCGTGGGCTCGGTGTTCGACGTGTCCAACGCCGACAGGCTGGGCTCGTCCGAGGTGGAGCAGGTGCAGCTGGTGGTGGACGGCGTGAAGCTCATGGTGGAGATGGAGAAGAAGCTGGAAAAGGGCCAGTCCATCGACGACATGATCCCCGCCCAGAAGTAGGAGCCCAGCCTCGCCGCCGCCGCCTGTCGGAGCCGCGGCCACTGCGAGCACGCGGCTCCCCGAGGCCCGGCCCTCCCTCCTCGCCCCGCCCTTTCCCGGGAGGCCCGCTCGCTCCGGGTTCGTTTCCAACCAGCGCTCCAACCAGTGGGCTCCAGCCTCTTGGCTCCGGCCAATAAACAGCCTCCCTCACACCTGCCGCTATTTTTTCCAGAGCTCCGCCCATCAGCGGGAGCTCTAGTGCAGAGGGGACTCCCGGTCACTTGTGGAGCTCATGCCATTTCTCCACTCAAAGCAACAAATAAAAGCAACGGTGGTCTTAGCTTTGTGCACTGTGGTTATGATGGGAGGAGGCGGGCAAGGAACTTTGCCATTGGCCGCGGGGGAGCTTCACAGTGGTTGCCCACTCCAGGCAGCCCATCTCGAAAAAGAGCAGTTTGCGTGTAACCAAAAAATTCTAAGGGGAACCTGAGGCCCAGAGTGAACTGACCAGTCGCACAGCCTCGCTGGACGCCAGCTTCCCACCAGCCGTGCTCCCACTGCAAGCCCGGCCCCTTGACTGGTTCAAGGGCCTCCAGTTTGAGACCTCCCAACACATCTCACCACATACCTTTATGCTCCTCGCGTTCTGTCCACCTGCACCCTTACTTTTCTCAGAAACCTGCCACTCTCCACCCCTGCCACGCACAGCTTCCTATGTGTGATTCTTCAAGGTCAAGCTGAAATGCGTATTTGCTGACATCGCATCTTTCCAGCTCAATTCCCAGTTCCTTACTTTCTTCCTCCTTGCAGCCAGCAACTCCCACCTGAATGTTCTTGCCTGTGCTGTGTCCACCTTTAGACTGGGACTTGGGTCAGAGGATCCCCATAAAGACCCCTGCGACCAGCCTTTGGGTGAGCTTGGTCTAGGGAGGAGCAGGAAGAAGCCTGGGGGAAGTGGGAGCTGCAGAGGCGGCCCTTAGGAAGCACCTGAACATGTACTGGTTGTTGGTCACATCAATCACCCCTACTCAGTCCAGTAGCGGAGTGCTCCATCATGTACAGCAGGTGAGTTCAGAGAGGTTTCTGGAGGATACGTGAGGCAGAGCAGGGGAAGACAGGGCCTAGGGACCTGTACGAGGCACTCTCCAAACCTTAAGTCAGACATGCAAAGGTCTTTAGAGATAAAAGGATTTTCCCACTGTTTCACAGAGGGGAAACTGAGCCCCAGGATGTCCGAGTACCCAGAGATTACTGATGGGAAGAGGCCCCAAGGTTGAGGGTGTGCAGCACCAGTCAGATGCGGGGTGTCCTTTACAGTCTTGCGCCAGCTGAGGAAAGACCCTCCCTCATCTCGGATCCAGGCCACACAAACCGGTCACCAAGAGGGGATGGTTGGCACCAGCTAGGGCCCAGTCCCGTCCCACATTAGCTGGCTGTCTGTTCCAGCTGACCTCTTAAACTTTAAACTCACCCTCCTCTCCAGCCCCACCTTGCCCTATTTTGTTTCTCGCACTCCCGACACCAGCAACCTTCCCCTGCTGTTTTCTGGCTCACGATCTGGCCTTGGCTCCCTAGTGCGCAGGTGAGCAGGCCCAGGCCCTTCTGCAGGCTCTGCCAGCACCTCCAGGTTCGTCTCCCACACTGACCACCCTCACTTGGGACCATACCTCACCCGAGGGGCTCATGTCCTCCTGCTTCCCAGCCTTGCAGGCGCTGCACCCCTTTGAGCCCCTCCCCTTGCACTTCCTGCTCCTATAACCAGCCCTGACCACTCTGGGCTATCACACCTGCCTCCACGGGACTGCGCCCTGGGAGTGGGGGTGCAGGTCTGGGGCTGTCGGAGCGCCACGGTGTCACCTGCAGAAAAGGGCACAGGGAAGCCCTGAGAATTGAGATTAGAGACTAGGTTGGCTTCCCCTTCCCACATCTGCACCCCGATGTTCTGCCCTCTCAACTACATGTCTGCAGATTCCTGTTCTGATCTCAGAAGCCAAGCACACAGTTCTAATAAGTAACAGCCTTCATTCCTCACTTAACTTTCCATCACCCCTCAAAGAACACCAGGGTTGACCCTACCAAGCCCCAAACAGGCAACTGAGGAACAAGACTGACCAAACCTCTTCCCTGGACACAGCCCTCCACGAGTCCCTGGTGCCCACCGACGAAAGCTCAGCACTCTCCTTTGGCCCGCAAGAACCTGAGCGAGCATGCCCTGTCTCCTGGGCCACAGCCTCCGCTCCAGTCTTCCAGGTCCATTTCCTCTGCTCTCGACACCTTGCCTTGAACTCCCCAAGTCCAGCCTTAAGTATGAGGACACTTGGGTCAGGGATTGGCGCAGGGAGGGTCACTGGACTTATCTGGGCCACAGTGTGTCTTGGGATTTCAGGGCAAGTTGGCATGAGGAACTTCTGCTGAGACACAAAGTTGCAGCTTGGAACTGCTGGGGTCCCCTTTCCCACCAGGGCGCGCTTACGGCACTGCACTGCCAGAAGGGAACGCTGAAAAGCAGAGGTGGGCTGGCGTGCCGCCTGGCTGTGCCGGCCCAGGACTACTCAGCAACAGAATGAACACCTTTGTTCTTGTAGACTAGTCCCAACACAGCACTTCTCACGCCAGCTGTCCACCCACTCCCAAACAGCAGCCACACTGGAGACCCAATGAGGCCACACCACACGCCCCCAACACCTGCAGACTCTTGTCCTGGGTGTGCCCAATGCCTGGTTAACTTCTACGCCTCTTTCAAAACCCAGCTCCACACCTGCTCCACCTTCTGGGCTCCCCAAAGCAATGGCTTACCTAGTATTTGTCAGAACACATATCCCCCCCAAACAGGGGCTCCCTCTATCTCCGAGTCCAGCACTGGGCCTGGCAGGGAGTAGGCACCGGTCAATGACTGTTTATTGAATAAATGTACTACTGGAGTAAGAAGTGGCTTAGAGTCCAGTATAACATGTGGGCGGGCTTGTGATTGGATGAATGGGGGGGGGCGTCTGAGATCGGAACTGGGGGCCTCGGGGATGAGGCCGAGTACTGTCCTGCTGCCCTCTCCCAGTCATCCTGACCCTCACACCCCCACCGCTCCCATTCTGCAGGTGAGGAAACCGAGGCTCAGAAAGGAGAGGCCACTGGCCCAGCCCACACACCTCCTGTGTCTTACGGCAGGTGAGGGCAGGGAAGGAACCCCAGGGGCAGCGTGGGGGTGGGGAGGGACTCTCCTAAGTTTATTGGGCAACAGGCTGTGAGGAGTGGGAGGCCGACAGGAGGGTGGGGTGTAATAACTTAAAAACCGGAGGTGACAGCGGCAGCTCCTCGGGAGATCTCTGCGGAGGGGCAGGAGTGGGGTATTCACAGGGGTTTGTACAAAGTGGCCCGCGCCAGCCTGGGGCAGGAAGGGGAGTTCGAGCATGAAGGAAGTGGAGGGAAAGGAATCTGCCTCTCTGCCCCCCCACTCCCCTCCCCCCCCATTCTCCAGTCTTTAGGCTCAGCAGCTCTTCCTGCCCAGGCTCAAGGCTTAGTTCTTGAGGTGCTGGGAGGTACAGAAGAGTTTCCCTTTCTGCTCCGCCCGGTCCCCAAAGTCTCCTCAGGTGCGCCATGGTCGGACGAGGGGGGACAGGACAGGCTGGAGGCTCCAGGAAGGTGCCAGCTCCTCCTGCTGAGCCCCCGAACTCTTCTCTCATGCCCAGTGATCCCGGAGGACAGCCGAGGGATGCTCTCTGCCCCCAAATCGAATTCAGGAAAACTGAAGTGATGACAAAGAGATCCCTTCCCTGACCCCTTTCCCGCCCTTAGAAGCGAAGGAGACAAGAACGAGGCAGAGAAGGGGCCCGGGCGTGGTGGCTCAGAGCTCGAGGTCATTGGAGATGCGGGTGACGAGGGTGCGGAAGGCCAGGGCGGTGCCCGCCACGCGGCGGAACAGAACGCCCCGCAGGCCGGGCCGGGGCAGCTGGCAGACCTCCACTTCGAAGTGGGACAGGGGCTCGGGCCCGCCCGCACCCCCGTGCAGGCAGGCCAGCAGGAACGGCTGTGGCTGGCGGCAGCGGCAGCGGGCGGCTGCCGTGGCCTGGCGCAGAGCTGCCATCAGGGCCTCGGGAGGGCGCGAGCTGGTCAGTTTCACACTCCAGGGGAATCGGAGCAGCCGGGGGGCGGTTTCCGCTTGATCCCAAGGTAGATGGCAACTGCGGTGGACAGACGGAGGGTCGGCGATGGGAGAGAGGGCAGGAAGCCCGCTGTCCCTGCTCGCGGGGCGCTCCAGCACCTTCGCTCCCAGGGACTTCAGAGGGACAGCTGGAGTGTCCCTCCTGCCCGCCCTCCCCACACGTGAGGGTGCGCGGCCTGTGCCACCGAATCACCCCCTCAAAGGAAACCGCACGGCCCGGAACCTCGGCGCATCCTGTGCACTGCGCGGCCGCCCGGGCTCCCTGTGACTGGAAGTCGGAACAAAGGCCCGGCCGGGCTGCCCGGGCCTCTCGGTTTGTTTGGGAAAACCGTTTTCCCGTCTGTGCTGTGGGAAGCAGCCACTGAGCCGGCTTCCTATCTAACACCCCCTTCTGGCGGCACCCTCACTTCCCACCCCAGGCCCCGCGTCAAGCAACACTGCCCCGCGGGGAGTCCTGAGGAGTTTCTGGGGGGCTTTCTGGCGGTCACAGTGTCTGGGGTGGGGCGCACTGGGCGTTTGGAGGGAGGCGAGGGGTGGCGCCCTCTGCAATGCGCAGGAGGACCCACACAACAAAGGCCGTCCTGTGTGGAAACCTCCAGACCAGAGCGCAGAGCTCGTCTTTCCGGTTTCGGTGGGGCTGACTCTGCCTCTCAAAGCCAAGGCGAGCTGCTCTGCCAGCCAGCGGCTACCCTGGCCCTGATGTCTGCGACTGGCTCAAGGGCGAGCACGTGATTAGGTCTAGCCAGTCAGAGTGCCCTTGAGGCCCAGGCATCGGTCATGGGGTGGACACACGACCAGCCCTGGCCGAAGAGAGTCAGTCCTGGGCCTTTGGCAGGACCGCAGGGGAGACGCGTCCCGCTGGGTCTAACTCCCGCCGCCTTGGACTAAGACAGATGTGGCCACGTTCAGCGCAGCCGCTTCTGTGAACCAACTTTTCCAGAACACCGTGTTTCTGGGTTGAATGCGGCTGCTTTTGCCCTGCACTATACAGCCCAATGGCTATGACCGTCTAAACCGTCCGCCATCTGGGGCTGAGCTGACGCCTGCAGCCCACCGGCCTGGAGCTGCCGGCAGCCGCTCTGCTTCACGGATGCGGAGACAGAGGTGGCGTCAGCTCAACAGGCGGACAATGGTGAGGGGCCGCACAGGCTCAAGTTAAAGACGGTCAGGGACAGGGTGGCATGAGTGGGGCAGGGCTATGGAGCTGCAGGATGAGACTTGGGTGCCAAGCACCTGCGGGGAGGGTAAGAGGCAGCTGAGCAGCAGGAGGGGCTGCTGTGGAGCCAGGGGTAGACACATGCACTCACCTTGTGACCTCAGGTCCCCCGATTCTCTCAGGTTCGTCTGCGACCCTAGGAGAGGGGGAAGGAGCAGAGTGGCTAGTGTGGGCAAGGGGAGCCCCTCCCTCCCTGGCTGCCTCCAGGACTCTGGACAGCCCCTGTCTCCATCCTGGGTCCCCACCCCCCGTCGGCAGGAGCTGGGGAGGGCTGAGTCAGGACCTGCTCACTCTGTTCTGAAGGGGAGCCCCTTCTGAAATGGTTAGTGCAGGTGACAGGAAAGATACAGAGAAACTTGGAAGGCGAGAGAGAGGGGGGCGGGCACACACACACCTCCATGTAGGAGGCACACACACAGCCTCTTAGGCTTTGCTCACAGGACCTCCTCATTTAAAATGGGACCCCTTCCCCATCCCCTGACTCCCCTTCCCTGCTCTGTGCTCCTCAGTACCTGTCACTCCCTGGCGGGCAGTGTATTCACTTGTTTACTGTCTGGTGCTGTGGGAGAAGTTGGCTCTGCCTAGGCAGTGCCTTACACATTTTGGTCTCTCTACTCCGGGGTCTAGGATGGTGCCAGGCACACGGTAGGTGCTCAATAAACAACAGTAATAGCAAACATTTATAAAGCATGTCTCAAGGCAACATTCTAAGTTCAGTCCATTTTTAACTCATGCAAAACTCCATAAAGAAGAGGAAACTGAGGCCCAGAGAGTCTCAATGATGCCAACGGTCACTCAGCAGAGCTGCCAGTCTGAACTGGGACACTCTGGGTCCAGAGGCCGGCTCACTGATCATTAAATGAATGCGAACCCACCTACACACTTACTTCGCTCACAGAGCTCCCTCCCCACCTCATCCAGTCCAGACATGCAAATGGGGGAAGAGCCAGAAAGAACAGAGGGTGGACGGGAACTTACTGATCTTGGATCCCTGGGGCAGAGAGGCGCCCGAAACGCAGCGGTTAGAGTTCTGCCGTTTAGAGGGATCGAGGGTAACCCTGTAGTGTGAGGAGGGAGGCGAAGGGTGATGGCAGAGGCGGAGAGGAGCAGGACGGGGAGAAGGACGAGAAAGAGGCCGAGGAGGACGACGAGGTATCAGGAACAGGAGGCAGAGCAGAGTAGAAGACAGGTTAGGCCCCGCCAGCCCAGCCCAGCCCACCTCCTCGTCCCCCCCATGTTCCACGGGGCTCACCTTCGGGTCAGTTTGGAGGTCAGCTTGGTGAAGAGGTTGGTGGTGGGGCGGGGTCTCCCGGCGGGCAGGGGTGTGGCCTCGTGGGCCAGTGTGGGAGAGGCAGGGGGCCCGTTCTGTACAGCCCCGCCTCCCCCGCTCCCTGCCCGCCGGTCCCGGACCTGACCACCATGGAAGGTGCTGCGGATGGTGGAGCCGCGGGCCAGGCGGCTCCGCTCCCCTGATGGGGGTGCCAGGCTGTGGCTGGAGGGGGAGGCGGGGGGTACCCGTGGGGTACCCGAGCTGTGGGCAGAGAGGAAGAAGTCAGACTCCTGAGGCAGGTCAGGGCCCCGGGCTCTCACTGTACAGAAACCAGGAAACCAAGCAACCCGGAGCTCAGAGCAGGCTGCATGTACAGCGCACAGGCTGTGCACTGCACGACTCATTTCTTTTTTTACCAACTCTTCTCCCCTCCCAGGTTACTTGTCTACCAAACTGCTCCCCTGGGGCCCATCTTCCCTGGTTTACTCTTGGTAACCCCAAGCCCTACAAGCATGAACACTGAACAAGGCCACCTGGCCAAAGACTACATTTCCCAGCCTCCCTTGCAACTATGAACAGTCATGTGGCTACGTTCTGCCCAACCAGACGCCATGGGATTGTTCTGTACCATTTCTAGGTCATGCTTCCAAAAAGACCGCAGTTTGTTCTTCAGCCTCTTTCTACCCTTTTTGCTGGCTGGGAAATGGTGGTGACGAGGGCAGTGGCCTCAGACCCAGAGCTGGAGCCTCAAGAGGAGACGGGCAGAATCGGCTGAGACGTGCTGCCTGTCTCTGGATGGCTGTGCCCGAGGACTAAGCCTCGACCTCACTCAACCACTGCACTCCGGGGCCCTCCACAGCAGCCGACCGTATGGTCTAACCGATAGCGCTCTTGAGCGGAACGGAAGGCCGCGCCTTACAGGGGTTACGGGTGCAGGCTGAGTCAGGCCGCAACCTCTGCCTTGAAGCACCAGTGGTGTGACCTGGGACAAGTTACTGAGCCTCTCTGCGCCCGTTTCCTCAGCTGGGAAAGGAGGCCAGGATCTCCAGCAGAGCGCTCGGGACACAACAGACACATCGTCACCTCCACTGGGGCCTCCAGTGGAAGCTGGGGGCAAGAGAATCAGCCCCATCTTGCAGAGGCGGCTCTGAAACGGGCTGGGGGTCATCCTCCAGCAGCACAGAGGCGGGGGTGCCGCCACGGCCCCAGGCATTCAGCTGCTCTGCTCCCCCACCACTGGGCAGTAACACCTGCGCCCCCGAGCCCTCTCCTCACCGACCCCCGGGCTGGAGCTAGGACGTTTGTCCCTCTTAGGCTCCCTCCCTTGGTGGCAGCTGAGGCCCGGGCAGGCGGGCCTGCAGGCAGCCAACCAGAGGCGGCTGAGGCCGCAACCTCTGGGCTCCTCTCAGGTTCTAAAAATGGATCATTCAAGAAAACCAACTCAGGTTCCCAAGGCTTGTAGGCGGAGAGCGGAGGGTGGCGGGAGGTTCTGCTTTCCTGGAGCTGATGACTAATTAATTAAGGGGGTCGGGACGTGGGGGGCTGGCGGGGAATGAGTAGATTCTGCCAGGGCAAGGGCGGACAGCTCTCCAGGACCCATGGCATCCCCTCCCCAGTGTCTCTCACTGTAGGTGGAGGACCTGCTCCCCCACACCCCGCTCCCTACCGCCGCCCCCCACATACCTGTTTTCTTTGCCATTTGGCAACAGGGATGGGCGCTCAGCCCCTGGGCGTTCTGTGCAGACGTAAGTGTTCCTGCGGGTCATCATGCTGGGCGGGAGGCTGTTCTGTGGGAGACACGGCCAGGAGGGGAGTGAAGAGGCAAAGGGCCACCCCACTGCCCCTCACCCTACCTGGGGTCCCTGGTTATGAACAAAAGGAGCTTGCGTGAACTGAGTCAGGGCAGGCGATGGTTGCCAGGACAGCACCTAAACACAGGCAGGCTTTCAGGGCCACCCAGGGGTCTAGGCTCAGGGTCACAGGGCCCGGGGCTGAGGGCACCGGCTCGTCCACTCTCCCCCAGTTTGCCCAAGCCCGGTGCTGGGAGCCACGGCAGACTCGACTAAACGTGCACATTCCGCGGCCTCAGTCTCTGCGCAGGCGGGACCGTCCGCCGAGCCTCTCTCCTTCCTCGCTGCCACTGGGCACACCCCAGGGTTCCCCAGGGCTGCCCACTGCAGGCTGCCACTTCACGTTGCTGGCGCCTGCTCATACATCTGTCGCCATCCGGTGCTGAGCTCAGGGTGGGCGTGAGAGTTCAGAGGTTCCCTCTCTCTCTACCCTCCGCAAGGCTGCCTAAGATGGACATTACTGCTTCTTTCAGAATCTGGAGGACTCCTACCAGTTGGAGCCCCCGGAGAACAGAATTTTCTTTATGGGCAAGTTTTAAATTATGGATTCAATCCCTTTAGCAAGTATATGTCTGTTTAGGTCTTCTGTTTCTTCTCACGTCAGTTTTGGTTAAACTGTAATTCCAAAGATTTGTCCATTTCATCCACGTTGTCGAACATGTCACCCTGGTATCTTTCCCCATCTTTTTATATTAGGAAAGAATTATTTCTGATACTGGTCATTTGTGTCGGCTCTTCTTCTTTTTTAAAGGTTTATTTACTTATCTCTGTATAGAGCTGGGGTGCAAGCCAGAGGCGCAGGGGCGGTGAGAGGCTTCACCAGAGACAGAGCGGGGAGCAGAACAGGCAGATTGCCGGAGTACACTGCTGAGGGGGGCAGCGGGAGACAGGCGAGGTCTGCTGGGCCCTGTGGGTCAGCTCCGGGGTGGGGATCGAACTCACACCGAAGTGGCCGCGGCCAGCTTTGCAGTGCTGCGCTTTAACCCTCTGAGGCAGCAAGGAGGGTCTGTCTTCTTTTTCTTAATCACTCTTACTGGAGGCCTGATTTTATCTGTCTCTGCAAAGAACCATTTTGTAGCTTTGCTGATTTTCTTCAGTGTTCAGATAGGCCCTCTTTGGTGACTTTATCTCTTTGTTATTTCCTTCCTTCTACTTTTTGGGGAGCTAATTAACTCGCTTCTTAGCATCTTCGGGGGATACTTTAACAAGAACCACCATTCCCGTCCCCAAAGTGCTTGCTGAGCCAGACCCTGGGGGATTTTCTGGGCAAAATCCTCATAACGACCGAGTTTCTCCACTGGCCGTTTCACAGGGTGGAGCAGCGACGCCCAGAGAGGTGGAGCCACTTGCTCAAGGTCACGCAGCTCATCAGTGCCCTTCAGCTCTGGGCCGTGTCACTTCAGACACCAGCCTCCATCTTTGCGTCCCAATGTCGTGGGGCCCACAACCTGTGCTGTACACTTCTAGGGAGCCGAGGACGCGGGAGAGCCAAACCACATGCCCAGTTCTGCAGTTCAGCGCCTGCACCCAAAGGCTTCGGCCGGCCCCGCACTCGCAGAGACGGGGCAGGTGGAAATGGGGTGTCACAGGCAAGGTCCCGAGGTCGGACTGCTAGAGCTGCCCCGGTGCCTGCTTTCGAGAGCGCTGGGCTCCTCCTGGCGGGTTTCTGAGTCCTGGGCTGCGGCCCAGGCTGTGCTTCTTGAACTCAGCAGTGGCAGAGGTGGCCTCAGAGGTGGCCACTCCCTTGGCGGGTCAGTTGTGCCATGTGACCGTGTCACTCCCGTGGTCTAGCCCACTGACTGCTCCCCCCGCTGTCCTACAACTGGGTAAGCACCACCTAACTCCCCATATTAAATCCTTGCGGCCAAAAGCAGGTCTAATGCTTCTTTTCGACATGGAACATTAATTTACATGCTGGCATTAAGCTTAAATTCAGGCAGAGAGCATCTAAAAATTGTTCAGTGAACGAACAGATATGACGGGGCTCCCTGTGGAGGCCTGGGGAGCAGGACACGGGAGGACAGGGTGCGAGAACACCAGCTAGGTGGGACTTGGGGCTGCCCGCGGCCCCCGGCCCGGCCCCACTCACAGGCGCGCTCGTGCTGTCCTTCCGCCGCTCCGGGATCTCTGCCTTGTTGGGGTTGTGGGCGCTGCTGACCATGGGGCTTGAGGGGGGCAGCCCTCGGCTCCCACTTCCAGCAGCACTGCAGCTCGCCTTCCGGCTTGGCAGGCGCTCCTCCTTCAGCTCCGTCTCCCCTGTGCTGGTCGGGCTGCGCTTGGGATGCAGGGGTGCAGGGGAGGGGCCACCTGGCAAAGGGAGGCATTCTCAGGGCTGCAGCCTCTGCAAAAGCCGAAACCTACTATGGGGGACCCCTGGAACCTTAGAGGTCCCTGCACTGGCTGCACAGGGCTTTCTGACCACATCCAGGCAACACGTGTGACTGAGACACGGCACACCAATGGCATGACGGACATACGGGTCATTCTCCACGTGCTCTTTCTAAAGACCAGAGGACCGGGAGCACACTGAAGGCCCTCGACAGAGGAAGAGTTAAAAACAGCCACGCACCCCTTGGGCCGCGTCTTAGTCCACAGTGGCAGGCAGGCATGACGCGTCCTAAGAGGCTCTACCCTCCAGCCCAGCTGTGTGGCAGGCCGCACACCCGGTCTGGGGCTTCTTACTCAGGATGGCACAAGGACAAACCACTTAAGGACACATTCCTCACAATGTGTCTTGGCGGTTAAGTGGACCTGACTACAGGCAAGGTATTTCTCCTCAGTGGAAGACAATGCAGATATAAGGAAGAACAAGGCAATTCTTTCTGTATCAGTACAGAATGATCTTTGAACATTTCGAAAGACGAAGCCAGATAAGAGGCCTACAGTAAACTATGATCAGTACAGGAAGGGACCGGGGCTCTCCATGTATCAGTTCACCCGAATCTACAGGTTTACATATATGTTGCTCCTAAAGTCCACCATTTGCATCACACGGGGAGAGGATGTTCCATTTCTAGTACACCAACAGATTCACAGCATATCACGTAGCCCTTCTCTTTCTCCTATGCAGAGATAGCTATCTACCTTTTTATGAATAAAAATATACAGGGCTATAGTACAGCAGAAAGAAACGAGAGCGAGAAGCCAGCACAAAAGGACACGCAGAGCCGGTCACGGCGGCTGCTCGGCGGCGAGCTGGGGACCGGGAGACGTGCGCAGGACGAAGACTCTTCTGACTCGCTACCCTTTTCCTACTGTCAAATTTGAAGGGTGTGACTGTATTCACTTCAAAAACAGAACAAGACAAATCTGGTCCCTGTGAGAGATGTACAGATTTAGAGTCAGCAAGTTAGATGTATTCTAGAGCTTAGTCAGAACTTCTGCCTTAATGTTCCGCGAGGCCAAAAGCTGGGGGCTCCATGCTGACGGACACTCACCCCGTCAACAGTGTTTTACTTGAGAACCCCAACTCTCAGCATCTCTGTGTGTGCAGGGGAGTTGAAGTTTACCATGTCTGGACCCAGGCTGTTGGAGTTCCTTCTCAGGCATCTTCTGGGCCAGTCTTACTACTCTACCGGTACGAAACGCGGACCCAGGGGAGAACGGCTTGATCGTCTGGGCCCCAGAACTTCTTTCTTAGGGCTGATGCTCAGTTTCCCTGACACCCCACTCCTCAGGCCAGTGCCCACCCCAGAATAAAGGACAGTTCTGCTGGAGAGGTGCAGGCAGCCAGAAAGGAGTGTCGGAATACCGCGGCAGCTCCTCAAACCTTTCACCACAGTATTACCGTGTGACCCGCAATTCTGCTCCCTGGCACGTGCCCAGGAGAAACGAAAACATATGTCCACACAGAAACTGGCACATGAGCGTTCGGAGCAGCGTCATCTGTGGCAGCCAAAAGCAGATGCTGTCTTTTGTCCACTGGCCACTGAATGAATACACGACTGCTGTCCAGCCACACAGCGCAGTTTTTGGCAATCAGGAGGGATGAAGTACTGAACTAGTCTGTCCGCATGGAAACAAGGACAATTCTGCAAAACATTAAGCTAAGCGAAAAGAGCCAGACACACACAGTGTAGGATTCCATTTACACAAAGTCTCCAGCAGGAGGAATCTGTATAGAAAGTAAATTAGCAGTCAGCGAGAGCTGGGAGTGGGGTGGGTGGGGATTGGAGGTCAGTGGCTAAGGACTGTAGAGTTTCTTACTGGGGTAAAGAAAATGTTCTAAAATTGAATGTGATGGGGGCAGAGCTCAGGATTTACCACTACATCGTACACTTTAAGCGGTACGTGTATGGTATGTGAAGTCAGTCTCAGTAAAGCTGTCAAAAAGTAATGAAAAGGATTGATTTGATGAGGGTGGAGGTGACAGTCATCTTGGGAATTTCCAGGCCTACTCTGTGGTGGTGGTGTTGATGGATCCTTTTGTTTTCTGCGGCTAGCTGTCAGTTGCAGAGCAGGGGTTCCAATCAGTGCCCGAGTCCCTGTCTACCAGTAAGAGTCTTCCCTCATCTCAGTGTGGGAGAGGCAGAGGGCGAGCTCTCAGCAGCTACTTTGTTCAGTGTGTCCCACTCACAGTGGAATAATCCCACTGGACCTGGCTACGGAGGTTTCATCGCTGACAAGTGGACCACAGAGATGGCAGCTGCCGTCTGGGTGAGCACGGGCAGCGCTGAGGCACTGACTGGGACTGGGGTAATGTGAGGCAAGTGAGAGGTGACAGAGACCAGAGGCGCAGGGAAGGAGTAAGACACAGAGATCGTCCGCTCTGCAGACTCCCGTTTCGGATCCCTCCCGAGCCCGGCTGTGCATTCCTGCCCGTCAGCCTCCCTGCGTCTCCTGCTGCCCACCAGCAAGCCCTACCGTGGGCGGGGTTGGGTGGCATGGGAGGGCGTGGCCCATCACTCACAGAAGTCGCTGTGCCTGCGCTGGCGGTGGTAGGTGGAGGAAGAACTCCGCTGCCCTTTGCTGTGGCTGGTGCCTTTGCTGGAGCTTGTTCCATTGGTGGTGTCGCTGGGCGCCCGCACCCGTGCCAGGGCCAGCCCAGGGGCGCCCCGATCCCCACCCTCCTGGAGGAGAACGACAGATAAGGATCCTCGGTCTCATGATCGCTCTGCCCCAGGAGTCCCCCAACCCTGGGCATCAGGCATCCCTGGCACCTGCTGACCTCAGTCTTCCTGCCCAGCAGGAGGTAGGTGGCGGTCACTTCGTTATACTTCTGGCTGGTCAAGGCCTCTTTGATTTCTTCCCGCGTGTAGCCCATACCCACCATCACCTCTGTGGGAAGGGGATGAAGAAGGGGTTCAGTCTCCCCAGACCCTTCCCTTCTATACCTTTCTGCATGTCACAGAACAACTGCTCTTTGGACTATTGGTCATGCCCTCTTCGGTTGGCAGCATCCTGATTCTTCTGGATCATTCCCTCCCTCACAGACCACCTGCAGACTCCTGCCTGCGACAAACCCTGGCCCCAGGTCTGGGCCGTCAGAGTGCTCCACACCCAAAGCCGCACTGATCACAACCAGCATTGGCAGGTGCCTCCACTCTGACCAATCGGAGCATTCTACCCCGAAGGCCACCCTGATGTGTTCAGAGGTAGCCAACGGGCACCAGTCTGGGACTGCTACTGAAATGTAGGAAAGTGGTTCTCTCCCTGAGGGGTGTCCAGGTCAATAGGCTGTGCTGATCAGCTTGCCTGGGAAAGAAGCCACCGCTGAGGAGATTCCCAGTAGCCGCCTGTGAGCATCTGGATCTAGCTGTACCTGAAGACGGGCCTTCTCAAATGTGTGAGTGACCAACAACACTATTAGCTAAACCACATGAAATGGTGGTGCTGACCGTTTCTGACCTATAAAAATGGCAGTTTCATATGGTTTACTCTATTATTATTATTATCGGTTTTGACCAGAATGGCTTAGGTTTTATGTTAGTAGCAACTAAGAAAGTCTTGACTAACATAACTAGCTCCTGACTAACATAACTAGGCCTCGGTTTCTTCAGTTATAAAACAGAGTTACTGGATGGTTCTGAGAGATGCTTTCAGAGTTAATGCTTTTAGGAGCCAAGAAGTGGAGGATTCCACGTGGGAAGGATCAGGACCAAAGGGGGGTGGTGGGTGAGACACATGCCAAGGTGTGGGGGCTCCCCCCCAAACAAGCAGATTACTAATGACTTGTGCCGAAACTCTTCCAGAAGAGGCCTGCGATTTCTGTGTCTTAACAAATCAAAGCCAACACACGTCAGCACCTGTGCCTGACGTAAATGCACTAAATAGATCAACTGAATGTTCATAACAATCCCATGAAATGGGCTATGAGGGTCTGATTTTGCAGGTGAGGAACCAGCAGCACAGAGAGGGGAGGCCACTTGCCCAGGGTTGCACAGCTGGAAGGCAGCCCAGGGGCTACAGCCCAGACTTGTCTGTTCTCCCTAGTGGCCCTGCAGGCCCCTCTCGCCAAGGGGGTAGGTGCCGGGAAGTGCCCACCCCCAGCTCTGTGGCCCCCTGCTCCCACGATCCCCACCTATTCGCTTAGTGTCCCCGAAGTCTTCCTCAGGCTCTGTGTATGGCTTCAGCTCCTCGCCCTCATAGCCGATGTTGATCCATTTGTCTTTCATGATTTGCTGCAGCAAGACAGTGAAAGGGGCAAGACGGATGTCAGTGGAACTGGGAAAACCCAGCTCCCCACCCCTCAGGATTGCCCTATAGCCCACCTCAAGGGCTAACACCCCAGAGCTGAGGGCTCCTGAGGCAGCACCTCCTCCCCACTCTGCACGCCCCTGCTGGAGCTTCCTGGGGCCACCCTGCTTCCTCCGCATCATCTGGGTCCCTGGCACCCTGTAATCATCCTAGGAGCTCATTAGCTAATTACTGGCATGGCGGGGAGTGGGTGAGGCTGTTGGAGGGAGGGGGGCTGGGAGCCTTTGCCCGGGCTGCCTATCTCCCCCCATCTTCCAGCAGGAGACGGGAGGCCAGAGGACAAGGGCGGGCACGAGGGCAGGGCCAGAGGCTGAAGTGGGAGGGGGCAGGCTCACCTCGAGAGTGCAGCGTTTAGCTGGGTTCAGCACCAGGAATCTCCGCAGGATGCTCTCGCAGTCCGTTGACATGTAGAAAGGGACCCGGTACTTCCCTCTGAGGACTCTCTCCCGCAGCTCCTGCAGGGGCAGGGTTACTGGGTGGGGGTTCCTGCCCCACCTCCCCACACACATATTCACCGTGCCCCAGCTCCCAAGAGCAACGGGAGCGCCTCATCTCAGCCCTGGCCAGGCCGGCACCCCTCCCCCTCTCCTGATCTTACCGACCGTCTGCAAAACGGGGGTACTAGACTAGACACAGCAATTGAAAAAGCATTTTTAAAAGCTCCGTTAACTTTCGTCCAGAGATGACCTTGTAGGGACCGTGAGTCCTCCACGGAGACTCGTGCGAGGAGCCGGGCAGGCGAGTTGGCCCCGGGCCTCAGCCTCCCCACCTGTGACCGGGGCAGATGCGCCCTCGCACGCAGGCCGGCGGGAGCGCGCAGCGCCAGAGGCTGAACTCCCGTCTGGCCCAGAGCAGACCTTAGGCTGACAGGTGGGGGAGGGCGGGGGGCCCCCACACCCCTCGCACCTTCCCCGCCTCTCCAGGCAAGCCTGCGCTCCTGCAGAGCTAGGCGGTGCTGCGGTCTCGGAGCACACTGGGGCGACTGCGGCCCTGTGAGGCGGAGCCTGCAACCAGCTGCACGCTGCATGCTGTGGCAGCCCTGGGGAGCCCTCCATCCTGAACTAGGGACTGAGGGAGCACGGCGGGGGGCAGGGGTGCTGCCAGGAGCTCCCACGGGGCGCTCTCCTGCAGGGCAGGAAGAGGCCTGGGAGCCTGTGGGCCGGCAGCTGATGCCACAGGGCCATGAATATTTAAGAATGGTGAGCACCGCAGCCTGAGAGCTCACCCCAGACGGGCCGCTTCACACACCATCACGTGTGTGCTCACGACGCAGGGAGGCGGGGTGCAAGGCCTGTCCTCTGACGAGGAAGCTCAGGCCTAGAGCAGTGTGCTGGGACCAGGCAAAGCCAGAGCCAGGGCTCCCAGACAGGCAGGAGGGCCTTGGGGCTGTGCAGGGCACTCCCGGCGTCCATGGCGGGGAGAAGCTGTCAGACCACTGCCACCACCAGAGCGACCCGGCCCCCTGCCAGGTCTGTGAAGGGGGCTGTCCACCCCCAGGCTGGCTGGACCTGGGCTCTCGTTTTTTCACTATCCATTGAAGTAACACTGTCCTAGAACATTACATAAATTTCAAGTGTGCAACTTCACACACCTTAATGTCCCATATAGAGGTGGGGACACTGAGGCCCAGAAGAGCCTTGTGTGAGGTCACTCAGCAAGGGAATGATGCTGGGGACTGCCCCACTGGGCCTGGCGAACCTGGAGCGCAAAGCAGGGCACACGAGGTGACAAGGGCCTGAGGCAGGTGAGAGGCCGGGCAGCCCTTGGAACAGGCCTCTTGGCTTCATGCGTGGGGATGGGAGAGCGTATTTTGTGAGTGGCCATGCCGGGCCCATCTGATCTCAGCACATCTCTGAATCACTGCTACGAGGACGGCAGTGGCCAGACCTCACTGAACACAGCTGGGGCCGGGGCCCCGGGCAGTCAGCTGCTCGGCCAAGGCCACAGTGAAACCGGGGCTCCCTCCTCTTTGAGGCTTGAGCCTCTGTTCTGGGGGCCCAGCCCCAGGGGCTCCTCCAGCCCTCAGCCACAGGGAGCAGGACTGAGCTCCCGCCGTAAAATTCCCCACCTGCATCAGAGAAAGGCGGACAGCCCGAGTGAGGGACGGCCTGCAGGACAACAGGCCTGAGCTCGCCAGCCAGGCCCCGTCCTAGAGGAGGAGACTGAAGAGACCGGGCAACTGTCGCAGTGCGGGGAGCGGGCCAGAGCACAAGCCGCCGCCGGGGGTGTTCTTAGATGGCTGATGAAATCCAAGGATGGGCCGGCGTTAGAGGCCAGGCCCTCATCGGTGCTGTTTCCCGAGCACAAAGCCGGGACGAGATACCGAGTTCCCAGAGACGCTTGCCCCTGGAACCTTCACGGGCAGCGGGACGAGGCGCATGCAACTGCCTCCCAGCGTCCCGACGACAACGACAGCCACGCACACACGGCCAGACAGCAGGTGTGGCCGAAGCTGTCCCTCGGAAGGGACTCGCCAGCTCTTTGTCTGAGCCTTTCTGGAGGCTGCCCCATTTCAGAACAGAAAGTTCAAAGGGAAAAAAGCACCACACTCAGACCACCCACATTTCCCAGCCCCCTCGGGGCTGTTTGTTCCCCCAGTAACACGGGCCTGCCTGACAGAACCGAGGGCGCGATATTTCGCTTTCTGCCTGGCTCTGCAGCTGGACATGGCCCCTCGAGGGCCGCCATCTTCCTGTTCGAAGCGTACAACGCGGCGGTCTCAGTCTCGTCTATTCCCTGGGTTGTGCGAGCATCAGCACAATCAAGTTTAGCTTGATTCTCATCACTCCAAGAGAGTCTGAACTGGAGCCCAGGGCCTCCTCAGGCAACCTCGCATCTGCTGGCTTTATGGGGCTGCCCGTTCTGGACGGCGAACAGAAATGGAATCCTACGTGAGTGGCCTTTGGAGACGGTTTTTTCTCGCTTGGAACGTTTCTGCAAAGCGTATACGGTCGGACCCATCAACAGTGGGCAATGACCACACTCACGCACCCTTCATGGAGGGAGTCTGGAGGAGCTCCGTGTCGCGAGGCAGCTGCACCATCACACAAACCCAGGATAGACGGTTTCCCAGACCCCAGGGCCGAGGGCACGCCTCCAAGGTCCACTGCCGTCGGGGCAGGGGTTACGTGACACCAAGTGTGTCCCGAGGGAGCCAGGGCCTGGACCTGAGGCTGCCACACAGGGCCCCTGCCCACTGTGTCTTGTAGGTCATGTGACCTCAGGCCAACCCCACCCTCTGCGGAAGAGTTGAGGAGGGGTGCGGGGGTCTAACTGTGGGGGCTGTACAGAGACCCCAGGAGAGTGACACGCCCTCCCGGCAGTCCCGCCCCGCCCTGCCCAGCACCTTGAGGTTGTGCCCATCGAAGGGCAGGGAGCCGCTGACGAGGGTGTACAGGATGACGCCGAGGCTCCAGATGTCCACCTCTGGCCCGTCATACTTCTTTCCCTGGAACAGCTCCGGGGCGGCGTACGGGGGACTCCCACAGAACGTGTCCAGCTTCGAGCCCAGCGTGAACTCATTGCTGAAGCCGAAGTCAGCAATCTTGATGTTGGCTTCGGCATCCAGGAGGAGGTTCTCAGCCTGGGAGGGAAGGGGCAGCACAGGTGGGACTCAGGGCAAGGCCCCAGCGGACTGTGCAGCAGACGGGGGCACCGGCTCTGGGGGCCACCTGGACGCTGGCCTGCCCTCCCCTTCCCTGCTGCGTGACCCTGGCGGTGACTTCACTTAAGTGAGTTAATTTACCAAAATGCCTAGAAGAGCGTTCAAACCCTCGCCCCTGGGGCTGCAGAGCTGAGTGTCCTTGGGCAATCTCCCACCCTCTATGAACTTGCTTACTCAGCAGGAAACAACAAAGAACTGACCGGTCAAGCCCGTGACAACAATCCCGCCAGACTTACGTGCACGGCACATGAAGACTTGGTGGGCTGATTAAGGGGGGGCTTACCTAGTGTGAGGTTACAAGGACAGTCTCTGGGAGAACCCCGGCAACACACTGACTTGCGGTGTGACCTCGGGGGGACCACCCATCTCTGGGCCTCAGTCTGTGTGTGGACCCCGGCCATGGGGGAAGGTGTGACGTGCTGCTGTGAGCACTCAATCCACGTATCATCCTTTATCGGGTTTTGTCTACTTTTACTTTTATTTCTTAGAGACTTAGCTGGCTTTGCCACGTGATTCATGTACTGGTTAGTATCCCACCAGCAAGCACAAAGAGGAAGAATGCGGTTTCCACGCAAAATCCCCGTGTCACAGGCAAGGAAACTGAGGCTGGAGAGGCCCCTCCCTTGCCCAAAGCAAGAAAGGCAGTGCTGGAATCCAAAGGCTGCTGTTGCCAGTCTTGTGCGGAAGGAGTCTCCCGCGTCCTGCCTCTTCCAGCCTTTTTTTTTTTTATTTTATTAAAAAGTTTATTTTTACATCATTTTGCACATTTTTTTTTCATCTCAATTGTAATCCCCACGGGTTTCCCATCACCAAATCACCCCTGTGCCACCACCATAGTCCCGTGCATTTTCTTCCAGCCTTTTCACTACAAATCGACGTACGGGCCTACCCCTCAAAACAATGCCTCTGCCTCCCCCCTCCACCCAGGCTGACTTCTGTACTCCCTCCCCACCTCTAATCCAAGAAAGGGATAGTCCAGCCCCGCTCCCCACCCAGCCTAAAGTCTGTGGGTCCCTGAGGCACAAACCAAAATTGCCTTGGTCATTTCCAGCACCCTCCACCAGGGGGCGTGCCCCTCCAGGTTAATCCAGGATAAAATGGTCAACTGAGAACCTCTAAGGTGCTGGCTGGAGGGTGGCGTGAGCCCAGGGATAAGTGTTCAGAAACCTCCACAGCATCTGGAATTCTATGTTTTTCTGAATCTAAGAATTCCAACAGATGGGACATTAAAAACACTAAAACCTGGCTTATTGCTCCGGGTCTCGTCAGCAGCAGTTACTCGGCACATAGTAGGTGCTCAAGAAACGGCAATGAGGCCAACTGCGTCGAATCAGGTGGAATTTTTCTGTCATCTGAGATGAGAACTCCAGTGTGAGTTCCCTCTGGGTGGCAGATGTGGGAAGGGGCCCAGGGGGACTTGCAGCTGCTGTCGGGCTGCCCCGTGAGCTCCAACAGGTGGTGTGGGGGGCAGTGTCTCCTCTACCTGCCGCTCCCTCTGGGGTCCCCACGCCAAGGCCCCTGTCTAGTTCCAAGACGCCTGCGACTCTAAGACCTAGAAGACCGTGCAGCCCTGAGGCTCTGAAGTCTCATTCCTTGAAGATTCCGGAATGTTCAAAAGTTTGAGATGCCAAAGCTCTGAAATGGGAGAGGACTGATTCTTCGCGTGCCCCTGAGCCCTGGCCTGACACACTCGGGAGCCAGCTTGTTCCAGAGACTGTTGTGCTCCCTTGGGTTCCCTGCTCTTCCTGTCCCCCACCTTACTTCCCCACATCTGCCTGCCTAGCCTTGCCCACAAAAGTTTGGGAAAACATCAAGGGGGGCCTGCATGCTAAGAAAAGAGCTTGGGGAAGAAAGGGGAGAATGTGGTGGAGGGTGTGGGGGAGCCACGATGGGGGTGGTTTGCAGCTTAGCTGGGGGTGCACAGAGGGTGGGGTGGCTCACCTTTAGGTCTCTGTGCACAATGTTTTTCTGGTGACAATAGTGTACGGCCGACACAATCTGAGGGATGGAAGGGAAGGTCCGTTACTTGTGGCCCCCAAACCCTTCACCCTTTGGCAGAGACCCCGCGAACCCACTCATAACTGATCCCGCAGACGCCAGGCCTCCCCCATACCCAGGCCTCATACCCCAAGTTGGTCACAGCAGCAGGTAATGCCACAGGACCTGCAGACTCCACACCCCACTTCCTTGGACACCCAGACAGCAGGGCGTCAGAGCCCAGATGTCGGGACTGCCCCTACCTCGACTTCCACAACGGCAACACCCTGGAGCGTACTGCATACCCTAGACAGACTGTGCCCCGATGTACCAGGGCTTAAGCACCCCACACCCCGTACTGCAGGACAATCCCAGGTGGGCACCCTCAGTGGGAACCCTCTGCCCAAGCAGAGCCTCACCCGGGACCTCACGCCTGCTTGTCTTCTTAGCCTCAAAGCTGGCAGCCTCACCCCTGCACCCCAAACACAGGCACCCTTACCCTGTACCTTCATGCCTCGGCACCCTTATACTTGTAGGTACCCTCACACCTTCCCCCTCACATTTATATTCTTCCTGCTACCCATACACCTGGGTCCTCACACCCCTGGGTTCCCATCACACACCTGGGTCCCCATATATCTGGGTCCCTTCATTGCCACACCCCCAGATGTCCACAAGCGGCACACTCTTGCCTCGCACCTTACATCCCCAACTCTGGGTGCCCTCATTGCTTCACCCAGGTTGCCACACATTTGCACCCTACATCGACACACCTGAATACCTAGGCACCCACACCTATTTCCCATACATGTTCTAGTCTGCACTCCTACACCAGCACACCTGCAGCTGCAGGTCCTTTCAGCCGCTTCCTACAGACTGGCAAACCCTGGCGCCCACACCTGACAGCTGGGCATCCTCACACCTGGGCATCTGCACACCTGCAGTCCCCAACTCTCCAGTGACTTCAGTCCTGAACAGCCCAGACTCACACCCACCTTGCAAACCCCAGAGCCCAGAGTCAGACACGCCCCGCCCATGACCTTGACCCGGACCTGTCGAAACTTGGCTCGAGCTTCCTTCTCCTTCATGCGGCCATGTGACACGAGGTAGTCAAACACTTCTCCTACAGGACAGAGGCCAAGCAGGGTCCAGGGTGAGATGCGAAGGGGGTCAGGGTGAGATGCGGGGTGAAGCCCACGGGGTGGGGTAGGGCAGGGTCCTCACCGGCACTTGCATATTCCATCACCAGGTACAGCGTCTTCTCGGTCTCGATCACCTCAAAGAGCTTCACTGCAATGGTGGAAGATGGTGGTTGGGGGGTTGACATGGGAAGAGACCCCCCTCACCTACCCTTAGTCTGTAACTATGTGGATGTACCGACTGTAACACCTCTTAGGCAAGATTACGCTAATGCTCCCTACTGAAAGCAAGATTTCCCAAACCCCTCAACCCATTTTCCGCCTTTTCCACTTTCTCACAGAAATGGCCAGGGATTTGACTCTGTTTTCTTCACTTCTGTGTCCCTAGCGTCTAGCACCTATCGGCCATTCAATATTATTTTTAGTGAGGACATGAACTAGCAGATGAATAAACACGGCCTTCACACGTGGGCAGGGCTAATTCATGCTCCTCACGGCCAAGACCCTCCTTCCCCTCTGCCTTAATGAGAGTGACAAAGATGATAAATGCTGCTCCTGACCAGCCCCCATCATGAGGCTCTGAATTGTTTCACACTCACGATCTTATCCAATCCTCACAAGGACCTTGAGGCAGGCCCTCTTATCACCCCCATTCCAGAGAAGACTGAGGTTCAGAGAGGTTAAGTGACTTGCCCAGGGTCACACAGCCAGTGAGCAGCAATGTGGCTATGAGAAAACAGGTCTTTCTAACTATACAACCACTATTTCTCCTGCCCATCCCCCCACCTCTTCCCAAGTGCTCTGGTTGGTAGCCCCTAGACTCATTCCCTTCCTCTCCTCACCGATGTTGGGGTGGTTTAGGCCTTTCATGATACGAACTTCTCGGAACAGCTAGAAGGAAGAGAAAGGTGAGGGTTGGTGGTTTCCAGGACCTTCTTCCCAACCACCCGGGTCCCTCTCCCTGGGCATCACCTTCTGCAGGCTGCTGGGATTTAGTTGGGTTTTGTCGATGATCTTGATAGCAACCTGGAAGTGGGAGAAGGAAGAGGAAAAGGTCAAGGTCCCACAGACCCTGGAGCCGGGAAAGGTGTCCCAACTCATCACTCTGGGATGTCAGTCCTTCGCCTCCCCTCTGCCTCCTATCGCCAACCTGGGCAATCCCTAGTGGGCTGTAGATGTGGGCCTCAGGACCTCCGCATCTGCTGTTTACACATGCCCAACACTATTCCTTATTGTCCAGTAGGGCCTGGGTGGGGCTGCTCAGACCTATGTGTGATGGTGACTGAGACTTTGAAGGGATCCCTTCAAAAGGGATCTGAGATCTCAGATTAGCCACAGCTGAGCTACAGAGCAGTAAGTAGTAATCACAGCCAACAGTTACTCACAGGTCATATGTGCCCTTTACTCGTGTGTTTTACACATGAGATCTCTTTTAATCCTCTTGATAACCCTGTAAGTACTAGGATTAACCCTATTTTACAAATGGTTTCTGGAAGCTGAGGCATAGAGCCACGAGGCTAAGGTTATATGGCTAATAAGTTTATGGGCAGGGATTTGAACTCACGCAGCCTAACTAAAACACACAACACGCGTGTGTGTGCGCACAAACACATACACGCATGTGATTCTGAAAGAAATTTCATGGTGGAAAAAATAAGAAAGTTACTGAATTCTCTTTATATTTAGCCTGTAGTTCAATGATTTTTTTCTTCCTAATTTGACTGTGAGTTTACCATTAGTGAGGGCTTTCGAAAGCTCTTAATCTAGATCTAGGGCTACGGCTTCCCCAAGGAACTTGGGCCCCCTCTGCACCAACCCCCCGTTTACCCGCCCTCTTTAACCAGTGGGGTAAAGAATTCTTCCACTGGGAGGCTTTGCTGAAAAGCTGGTCCTTTCAAACCGCACCCCCCCCCCCATCATGTCCAAAATCACTAAGGACTGACGTGTTCTTTGTGGGGGAGAGGGTCTTTTCGCTCCCCTCATATTCTCACGAATGGGTTTTTAATTCTGTCAAGTACTTTTTATGCCAGTATTGAGACGATCATATGGTTTCTCTCCTTGAATCTGCAAATGTGGTGAAGAACATGAATAAATTGTCAATTTGAAAAGAACTGTGCATTCCTGGGACAAACCCCGCTTTGTCATCATGCAGCTTTCTTTAACTGACTCGCCAGACTCTGTGAAGATTTTTGTGTCAACGCTCACTACAGTCAAGGTCTCGAGTAACATTAGCCCATAATTCTCATCTCTGAATTAGCCCTTGTCATCAGCTGGGCAGGGAACCACTTTCTTTAGTCTCTGGAGGTGGTGGCGTAAGAGTAGAATGTGTGGCCAGGATTTGCCCATAAACCACTGGAGCCAGACGTCTTCAGCGTGTGGTGGTGTAGACGGCGTGAGGGTAAGGAGCTGGTGCCAGGCTGGAGCGCTCTCGCCCGTCAATCTAGGTTAGGAGGTCTGTGGGCACTCTGCAACGGTGTCGCCATAATCCTCCGGATGTCCCCAGAGGCGGGGAGAGCAAAGGACTTTCTGTCCTCACCTCAAGATCACTGGAAGGCTGGGTGGACCCACAGTCTACCATTCAACAGGAAGGTGGCCCAGGTTTAGTCACAAAGCCCTGGGAATTCCTCTTACGAATACCTTGCGTGGCTCTACCTGTGACCTGAGATTTCCGACCATTTCAGGGTTGCCTGAAATTGGTTCTCTCCTCCCAACTAGCGTTGTTCTGGGAAGATCCGAGCTGCTGTGACCTGCCCCGGAGAAAGTCAGGGACTAACCTGAAGTCACACAGCACAGAGAGGGCCAAGCCCGCCGTTCCCCGCCTCCCACAATGCACCTGCTGCGGGAACCTGCCCCAGCCCCGCCCCACCCACCTCGCTCACCTCCCGGCCCGTGAGGATGTGCCGGGCCAGCTTGACTTTGGCGAAGTTACCCTTCCCGATGGTCCTCAGCAGACGGTAGTTACCCACGTGGGGCTGCTCCTCGGGACAGGAGGCGATGGAGTTCCGGCAGCGGGCACCCAGGGAGCGGCTGGACCAGGATGGCCCTTTGTCCGAGGAGCGGCCACTGCCCAGGGTGCCATGCTGAGGGGAGATGGAGGGTGAGTGGTGGGCAGCACTTGGCCCAGCCTGCCTGAGGGCACCGTGGGCTAGGTGAGTGACTCCAGCCACGGTCAACGGCCCCAGGCCAGGGAAGGGCAGAGATTGGGTTCCCAGCTCTCCACAAAACATACTTGAGAACAGAAACTCTGCCCCCTCCCCCCACTCCACAGCCTCTTCTTCAGCCTACACCAACTTCCTCTTCCAATGACTAGTACCTCCATTGACGCCCCAGTAATTATTCTAAACACTGCAGTTCCCAACCCCAGTCAGTGTTCACCTCCACCTGGACCCCAGCAAACCGCGGGCACACCCTGAGCCTCATGGCTCACGACACTGTTCCGCCCATCACTGAGCCGTACTGCCCCCAGCCCTATTCCAAACTCAGCCCCCTCGTGCTCCGTCCCAGTCCTCTTGGCCCACACAGGCTGTAACCAGTGGTCTGACCCGCCGCCCTGACATTGTTTCCTTCCTTCTGTGGGAAACACAGTTGCTTGTGCACAATCCCACCCCTACCCCGCACCCAGGAAACACTGGAGACCTCACCCCCGCTCCCACGCTACCCGCCCTAGCTGTTCCTGCCACCCTGTCCCTCCTGGGCCTCTCTCCCCCGAAGGTCACCGGCCTGCTCCAGCTGCCTGCCCCGATTGTCAGTGGCAGGAACAGTGCCTCCCTTTCAGGGCTGGGGCCCAGGGTACAGGTGACAAGCGACTCTCAGGCTGCAGCCAAGGTGGCTCTGCTCAGACCCCGCGTGCCCAATCCTTGTGCCCTCCCAGGGCTGGGGCTGGGGAGGGAGGGGCCGAGAGAGCTCCAGAAGAGAGGAGGCCAAAGGCGATGAGGTGAGGGCCCAGAAGTATGCCTGGCAGGGCGGCATTAAGCTTCCGAACGGTCCGTCAGTCCATCACAGTAGGGACACTGAAGCCCAAGCCATTTGGGGTCCTGGAACTAAACCCATATGCTCTACCCCAGAGCTAATGCTCTGCCCCATCCCTGCCCCATCCCGCCCCACCTTTTATGAAGCAGGCTGACCGCAGGTCCCGCCTGGACTGCGAGGCACCTCCCGGACTCTGAATTCCCACCAGAGCCCATGAAAGGCAGCTCCTGGACCCTCATGTTCCAGAGGGGAAACTGAGGCTGGGAGAGAGAAGCTGGCAGGTCAAGGTCACACATTCACGCACAAGGGTAGACACAACACTGCTGCTGGGGCCCTAACATGTGTCCGCTGCCCACAATGCCCTCCCCCAGCCTCCTGTGGAGAGCCAGTGATAGCAGCAACCCCAAAGCTGAGGCAGGGCAAGTACTTTGCCCAAGGTCGCAGGGCACTGGAGGGGTTCTAACCTGGGCCCGCAGCCTCCTGAGCAGGTCTGCTCCTGCAGCTGGCGGGCCATTCACACACCAGACCTGCTCCCAGGGGACTGAAGGGAGGTGGAGATGCTGGCTGGTGAGGCCTCTGATCCCCTCCGAGGTAGGGCTTGGAGAAGAATCTCCAGCAGGTGGCACAGAAGAGCCAACTGGGGTTTGGTCGGCACCCCACTGAAGGCTGCAGGCTTAGGGACCCCTGCAAGGGGCAGCGGGTAACAAAGCCCCCAGGGGCCGGGGGTGGGAGCTAAAATTGGCCCGCACCACCAGCTGGCCTGGCTTCCTCCCACCAGGCGCCCCAACACTGGGCCTGTTGCTAGGGAACTTCCAGGAGGCTGGGTGGCAGGGGGTCTGGAACTTGGGCTGGGGGAATGTGACCCCACAAGGCTGCCATCAGCGCATCTAAGGGCAAGGGACTGCAACCTTAAATTCCAGAAGGAGACAGTTGTCCCTCCAACTAATGTTGGGAGGCAAAGAGAGGAGATGGCCTCAAAGCCCGAACTAGGCACAAATCTAAGTCCTTGCATCCACCCCACTTTACAGATGAGGAAACTGACGCTCAGAAAGGTGAGGTCACTCGCCTGAGGTCACACAGCTTGGGAGAGGCAGAAACTAGATCTGAACCCAAGTTTATCTGAATAATCACAGTAATAGTAACAATGATACCAGCAGCTAACACACCAGGCCCCGCGTATGCATCTGACTCACACTATCTCCTCGCTCCTTAAAACATCCCTAGCAGGGAGGCCTGATCACCAAACTCAGAGAGAGATAAAGAAACTGAGGCTCCCAGCAGGGAGTGGATCTGCAAGCTCCAGCAACAACTACTGACAGACAGCCCGGGGCTGGGAATCAGGCAGACTGACTCAGACCCAGTGTGCGAGCACTTCCTGGGTGCCCGGCTTCTCCAGCATCCTCTCGAGTAAACCTCTGGTGGACAAGCAGTTTCCAGGGCAGGAAACCGAGGCTCGGGAGGGGAGAACCAGAGTCTGACAACAGTCAAATGGGCTGTTAGAATCAGGATTTGCACCCAGGCTAAGGCTTCCCTGGTACTTCCTATAGTAACTGGGGGGTGGGGAGATGTCACCAGAGACTCCCAGTTAGCTTGGCTTTAATATGACAGGCAGGGGCTGGGGTGGGGATGGGGTAAGCATCTCCATGTGGGAGGGTTCTGCAGGGTCACAGGCCAGAGGTCAGTTTTTCCTGTGGAGACCTGGGGTGGGGATGGTGTGACCTAGTGGAAGGTCTTGAGGGAAAGGGGCAGGGGCCCCGGCTGCGGAGGAGCCTGGCGCTGGTTGCTGATGGTAGTGGTGGACCTTTAGAAGCGCTGAGAGTAATCAGAAGCACGGGACATGAGGAGGATCTCTGAAATTGTTCTGGGCTGTGGTGTAGGGATGGGGAGGGGTGGCTGGAAACCATGGGCTAGCAGAAGTCAGGGGCAGGATGCCTGGGCAAGGGGTCTGGTCTTGAGGACATGCTCAGATGTCACAGGAGTGGATTCTAGCACAACCCTGGGGACCAGAGAGAAGTCTGGAGCCTGCAAGGCCTAAAAGGGGTTTCTTAGGAATAAAGGCTGGGCCTTGGGGTGTTAAGAGGCCTAGAAACTTGGGGAGAAGCCATCCAGCAGACAGTCCCCAAGAGAAAAGGGTTAGATCAGAGCCCTTGAGTGCAGAAGTCCTCCTCTGGAAGAAGGACTTCTTGTGAGCTGGGAGGACAGCTGAAGTTGAGGAGGGGCTTTCTCAGAAAGGCCAGATTATCCTCCCCCCCAAAAAAAAAAGAAAAAGGGAGGTCTTGGAGCAGAAGGGATGGGGGTATGGAGAGCTAGAAGAAATGGTGTCCTGTGAGGAGGGGCCTGGCCCAGGTGGGGGTCAAGAGGTTGGGGGTATGGGGAGGGGGCTTGCCTGAACTGAGCAGTTGATACGGGGGCCTAAGGCCTAGAGTCAGACTGGTCCAGGGCCTAGAAAATCGAGAATGGCCTTACTCCCTGGAAGTTGGAAGCCAAGACTTATGGGCCAGGAAGAGACCAGAGAGGGTCCCCCTGCAGCATGTTGGGGGAGGGCTGGGAATCCAGGGACAAGACTGCCTAGAAGATGGGGATCAAGGCCTGGGAGTGCAGAGACCTTGAACAAGCCAGAAAGGGCTCTGGGCCCAGGAAAGGTGGAAACTGGTTTCCATGAGGGGGTGCCCACGGGGCTGGGAGGATCCCAGCAGTTAGGAGGGCTGGGAAAGAGGAGGGGGCCTCTGAGGAGCTTGGCACCCTGATCCAGACCGAAAAGGCCAAAGCCAGAGGCAGGACAGGGCCGGGCCTGTCCGGGAGAGGGCCAGGGCTGGGCCTTGGGGTCAGGAGCCCAGCAGCTCCGGGAGGGGCGAGTTGTGGGACGCGGTTGGCCAAGAAGGGAAGGGGCTAAGAACACGCGGAGAAGGGAGGGGCTCCTGGAAGGCAGGGGTGGGGGCTTCCTGGAGGGGAGAGACCCTAGCGGAAGCGGTCTGTAGAGGGACAAGAGGGGTCCCGAGAGAGGGGCGCCCCCAGGGATGGGGCTGAGCTGAGGAGTGGGGGAGGGTCGACAGGCTTGGAAGTCGGGGCGGGGGTCGGGAGGTGGCGAACCGGAGCAGGCCTGGGAAATGAGCGTGGGGGCTCGCGCGGCGAGGGGCACTGCCGGGCGACGGTTCGGCGGCCGGACCCGGTCGGGGCTCCCCAAGGGGCCGGGCCCCACTCACCGTGTCCGAGTTCCGATCGTTGCCCGGGGCCAGCGCCGTCCGCGAAGACATTTTCTCCGGGTCCCGGGGGACGGGGCGGCCGGGTGGGGGGGGGCGGGGTTCCCGGGGTCCCCTCTCTTCCCCTCCCCCCCCGCCGGCCTGGGGACGCGAGCTAAAAAGCTGGGCGCCGTGGACACCCGGGTTCACGCTGCGGGAGAGGGGG